AGGGAGGGAGGGAGGGAAGGAGGGAGGGAGGAAGGGAGGAAGGGAGGAAGGAAGGAAATAACCTCCGAAGGAAGACATATGAAGAAAATCTACTATTTATACATTTTGCTGACCATTCTGTTTCCAAGGAAGTTCTAGTGAAATATTCCTCATCCTTGAGCCCAGGAACTCAAGACTAGCTTGGGCAACATAGTGAGATCCATGTCTACAAAAATAAAAACAAAAAATTAGCTGTGCATGGTGGTGCATCCTTGTGGTCCCAGCTACTTTGGGGGGCTGAAGTGGGAGGATCTGCTTGAGCCTGGGGAGATTAAGGCTGCAGCGAGTTGTGATTGCACCACTGCACCCCAGCTTGGGTAACAGAGGGAGACCGTATGTCAAAAAGGAAGAAGGAGAAGGAGGAGGAGGAGGAAGAGGAAGAAGAAGAAGAAGGGGGAGAAGAAAGAGAGAGAGAGAAAGGGAGGGAGGGAGAGAAGGAAAGAAAGAAAAAATGAACAAAGGAAATATACTCTAGTAAAATACTACTCATAGAGGGGGATCACATCGAACTTCTGTTCCATGGATGATCTATGTTCTAACACTTAATGGAGTACAGGTCAAAGGAAGCCAGAACTAGGGAACTAGGGATTCTGAGAGAAGGTGTCAGATGCTGAAGAAGTGTTCTCTCTGATGGAGCTCATCACGGGAGCAACGAGAAGGAGGAGAAGGGAAACCCTTGAGTGAAAGATTGTCAAAGTTCTCTGGGCATGGTGGATAGGTCTGGACTTTTAAGAAAGCATGATTTGGCCAGGTGCAGTGGCTCATGCCTGTAACTCCAGCACTTTGGGAGGCCAAGGCAGGAGAATCACCTAAGGTCGGGAGTTCGTGACCAGACTGACCAACATGTTTTAGTAGAAACCTTGTCTCTACTAAAAAATACAAAAAATTAGCCTGGCATGGTGGTGCATGTCTGTTGTCCCAGCTACCCAGGAGGCTGAGGCAGGAAAATCTCTAGAAATCGGGAGGTGGAGTTTGTGGTGAGCCCAGATCATGCCATTGCACTACAGCCTGGGCAACAAGAGTGAAACACCACCTCAAATAATAATAATAAATTAGCTGGGTGTGGTCATGCCCTATGATCCCAGCTACTTAGGTGGCTAAGGTGGGAGGATTGCTTGAAGCTGGGAGGCAGAGGCTGCAATGAGCTGAGATGGCACCATTGCACTCCAGCCTGGGTGACACAGCAAGACTCCATCTCAAAAAAAAAAAAGAAAAAAAAAAAAAAAAAAAAAAAAATAAAAAAAAAAAAAAAAAAAAAAAAAAAAAAAATCAATTGTGGGGATGGACCACATTTTTTGTATTCATTTATCTGCCGATGGACATTTGGATGGTTTCCACATTTGGGGCATTGTAAATAATGTTGCTATGAGCTCTGGTGTATAAATATCTGCTTGAGCCTCTGCTTTCAATTCTTTTGAATCTATACCCAGAAGTAGGATTGCTGGATCATCTGGTAATTTTATTTCTAATTTTTTTTTTTAGGAAGCACCATGTTCTTTTCCACAGTTGTGGCACCATTTGCATTCCCACCCACAGTGCTCAAGTGTTCTAATTTCTGCACATCCTCAGCAGCATTTACTATAATATGTTTCTGGTTTTCTCTGTTGCTTTGTTTTTGTAACAGCCGCCCTAATGGATGTGAAACTTAAGAGTTCTCATATGGTGAACAATCTGTCCCTTCAGCAGTCAGACTTAACTAGTTAATGCAAGTTGCATTCACATAGGATGCACATCGATTTTTTAGAAATAATTTCAGTTTAGGCT